ATGAAAAAGTTGGGAAATACAGATTTATATAAGTAATGAATTTTTAAAAATTATATTGATAATATAAATAACTTTTTTTTTTTTTTTTCTTTATTCTATCAATCAGTAACGGACATTATATATGATTAATCAAATGGTTGTGTAAATATCGGCTTACCCTTTTGTACATACTATATATAAAAAAAATTTTTGTATATATATTTTTTAAATTTAAATTTTTATTATCGAATCTCTATGTTAAGAATTTTTACATCTTCAAACGGTTTATCTAATTTATCAGTTTTGACATTTTCTATTGTATGAATCACATCCATTCCTGCAGTTGCTCGTCCAAATATTGTGTGCTTATTATCGAGCCACGGCTATTTTTTAAAAAGATTATGATTTTAAGATTTTTTTTTTTTTTTAAAAAAAAATCAATAATTTAATATATATGTAATTTTAACTTACTGTTTGAACAACCGTAATAAAGAATTGTGATCCATTAGTATTTGGCCCTGCGTTGGCCATACTTACTGTATATGGTCTATCATGGCGGAGGTCCCTGTGAAATTCATCCTCAAATTCTGACCCCCAGGCCGATTCTCCTCCAGTTCCATCGCCTGTTTAAATTCAAATTCCACAATATATTAATTAATTTATTTATTTATTTTATCATAATACAAGAATCTCTTCATTAATTTACCAAGTGGATCTCCTGTTTGAATCATGAAGCCTTTTATAACTCGATGAAATATCACGTTATTATAATATCCATTTTTTGAATGCGTTACAAAATTTTCAACTGCTTTCGGTGCATATTCAGGAAACAGTCGTATATGAATATCTCCTGCTGTGGTACGTAAAATCGCCGTGTTTCCTAGTTTTTGTTTGGTTGGTGTGGCTGAGGCAACTGTTTGTTCTTCTCGTGAAGGTTTTTCATTATACACGTCTCGATCTCCTTTGTGCGATTCATGTCTAAATAAACAAACATATTGATTAAGAATGTAGACCTGACATTCGAAAATAATCTAATATATAACTAACGCGTCAGGTTCTCGCTGCGTAAACATAAAGAATCGATTTCTCTTAAACGCTGTACAAAATAGCGTTGGATCTGTCGTTTCACTTTCTTTCATCAAAGGATTGTCTGACG